GCCGAATTTAACCAGATAGGCAAAGGTTTTCTCAAACATCTGTTTACAGTTTTGACGGCTGTCTGACTAAGTATAATATTTTATAGTATTCTTTACTCATGGCGTCATAACCAACAGCTGGCTGTTGGTTAGAATCCGGCAGAAAACAAAATAGTAGCGTCATGGACGTTTGAAGATGTAAGTATTGTTATTCTTAGGTATCTGTTTAAATTATGGCGTTTGCGCGTTATCTATTCGCTTTAATTTAGTACTTGGTATTTCAATAATATCTAACTATCCGACTGGTCAAACGAAATAAAGGAAACCTATCAATTTGTAAACACTGTAATCATTGGCTTCCGTTTTCAGCAAATTCCTATTCCTGAAAGCATGATTCCAGAACTTCCTGAAACACACCAAACTATCGCGCATGACCTTGGTCAGTGAACCTTCTAAACTATAACTCATTAAAAGAAGCTTCAAAAACTATTAACTTATCGCAGCTATCAATGGGAGGAACTAATCCGAAGGTCCAATTATCTTGACGAAGTAATCCAAAGCATTTCTGTTCCAGATGCGATTTAGGTGCAGGAGATGATTTTAGTATGTATTTACTTAAATGTGATCGATGTGGAACTGTCCAATCCAGGCTTACTAGGCATCAAGAAGCTCCATATTAATACATACATTACATCTGATATTAATACACATTACGGAAGGCAATAACATAACGCTCTCGAAGGTTATTACAATAAATTCGCATAATGAATGTGAATTCGCATTCGCATCATGAGGGGTTGTAAGAACAACTTCTTTTTAATAAACCTGAATTGCACTATAAAATCATAATCGATAACGTAAGACAATACAGCAAGTATGTTCGACCTTGAATCCGTTTGAATTTTGAAACAAAACAGCACGGAATTTGCTAGAAGAATGGATGTTGTTCAAGGAAATAAGGATTTAAGGTAGGAGGAAGCCGTCCGAAGACTAGCGAACATTGGATGAGTAACAAATCCTTCCTGAGGGGTCGTCCGGCACCGGCGCGCGCGCAGATGCCGGCAATTGAGACAAATGAGCGCGGCGCCACGCTCCGCCGGCCGCCGATACTATCTGCATTGTCTTAGCGGTCAGAGACGCCGTTTATCATTCACTAACAGTAGCACACTTTTAAAAAGTTACTTAAGATGTGATGAATCTTCTTACGAAAAAATACATCAATTTACTTTTAAATGAAAATAAAGATACCGCAATTAACACCTCCCATTAACACTTAAAGCAGTTTTTAACGTTATAACACCAAACATCGCCAACGAGTTACATTTCAACAAACCAGAAGGGTTTAACCCAGATTGGGAGTGTTTGACCAGCGCTATCTATGCAATAAGTAAACACTAACACTGCTTATCAGCCCGGTTGTTCAGCCTTGACTGCGAGCGGATGCTGGTGAACGATACCTAAACAAATAGTCAAAAACCAACGCGAACCTTATCAAGGACACCGTTCCTGGGGTCCTTATTAAATAAATCCACAATTTAGAAATTCCACGAAAAAGATCAAACCCAAACAATCAGCAATAAACGAAAGAATTTCTCAAGGTTTCTTTAACCTTTGTTAGACTGTTCTTATCTCTATTAACCTCAACTTCTTTTTAATTAGGGGTAAATACTCGAGGCGCTCACATGGAATAAGTGCGACGTTTCGAAAGTCAATTCAATTGGTGTTGTTTTTTTAGGATTTCATGAGAAGGGCAACGTCCACAGTCGGAATGCTCGCGCTCGCACACAGATCGGAATTTTCTCGTTGACGAAGCACTGAACGTTGAAATGGTAAAAAATGCCGCGAGTCATTGTAGTATTTAATATACGGGAGATTACAATAAACGCCACCAAGTTAATGTTACGGATTGTTACGCCAAGGAATGCCGTTTTGAAGCCATNCAATACGCTCGACGACCGCTTCTGAAGCCATGGGGAAACTAATAGATTTTTAAGTTAGTAATTTCTATTAGTGCATCATCATAATCTTATCCAATATTCTGTGTATTTTTGTAGGATCACATGACACAAACACAACGCTTTGATGCAAGTAGGTAATTAAAACATTTTACGCTAATAAAGAATTGTTAGAATGTGCATGCAACACCGATTCCGCAGCTTCAGTTACAGTGTTTAAGGCATTCAACCGTACAGCCGTGGATCATTGTCAAGACAAACACACAGTTTAATTTAGCATTCCAGAATATTTAGCAGAACAGCGCACGGCATGTTGCGTGAGGCGTGAACTATGCGATTTGCGACTAAACGCGTTGGGGAATACAAACACCCACTTTCGCTTGTCACTGCCAGATTTTTTTTCAATGTTCGAGTAGATAATTGGCGTATTGTGCTAAATAAAAGTAGGTTTCTTCGTGTTTCGGTCGGATTGATCAAGAGCTCTCAGCTCTTAATAAATCACGATAGTTAGGACTTATCTCATTACTATCATTGTTCTGCAAATAAGTTCTTTGTTTGTACAAACTGCAGGTCTTCTTTGGTAATGGCATCGGATAACTACTTCAGTCATCATACAGACCTACATTATTTATTATTTGGAGTTGAAAACAAGACAGCAGACAAAAGCAGCATGAAACATGACACCGAAATGAGATCAAATGTATCTCGTAGGCTAGATCTAAACACGAGCGCTAAGCTAAGCAGAAACCCGCTGACAATCTCGGGCACAGTATTAAATGTCGCAAGAAACACCTACGGAGAGCGTGAGACCACGCATTGTGTCCCAACTAGTTCTCACACAAAAATGTATGCAAGACCCATCTGCAATAGTGTAGCAAAACGCAGAAATCGCGAGAATTGTATGCCTTTGCGCAACAAAGAATTTTTCTTATAATCGATACAAAATTATGTGCCTCAAAGCCCGTATCAGACACGAACAATGTCGAGCATTTTATAATTACTTGAATTCAAATAACGCCTCCGAGGTCCAGTGGTTATAGAGTTGAGAGTAGGATTAACTCAAAATAGAGGATCAGGGTTTTATTCCCAGCCAGGAATCAGAATACACTCTAATAAACATTATATTTGCTCCTGATCGCTCAGTAGGTATATTTGTAGGATTTTGAGTCCACCATGAAGCGGTCTGATTGAGCCATCTCCGAAGCCTATGATAACAAATAAAGTCTGAAAATAATTCAACAGGATAGTGGGATAGAACAGTTTTGAGTTAATAGGACTATTTCCACCTCTCGTTCCCACCGCTGCAACTCCTGACTGTGTAGCCAGAATCTACAGCTTGACTGCCAATAAAAACCCAACCAGTGTAGGTCAAGTTAGTCCCGGGGGAAAGTTAAACTATGATTGGACCCGCAACGAAATTAATCAGAAGAACATAGGAGGAGTTCGAAGCTTTGAGAGCCTAAAACCGATGGTACAGGCATACCTTGCAGACAGAGGCTGATATTCATATGATTGAAATCCAGCAAAACTGCTGCCTACTAGCCATATAACATAACACAGAATAGTTCAAAGTGCACACAAGTACAATCGCATGCATCTTGAATTAATGACTCAATCAAATTGAATTAGACAGTGCAACAGTCATCACGGTCGCTGCTGCACTAAAGGAAACCTGAGTTGCAATTATTTCTGCGATTAGTACATTGGATACATGAGTAATTTAGTATCAACCAATCAAGCAACCAATGTGGTGAACTATTAGATCGTTTTTATTGGCCCGATTGTTTCTCTCAATTTAGTTGCCTATTAAGAAATCAGAGACGGCGCCTTTGATGGGAAATGAACTTGCACTTCTGTATTACCTATAAGAAAACTGTTTATGTAATACCATTTAATTAAATTTTACTGCAGGATAAAACACTTCGGCACGTTTCTATTATCCTTTATCTTCACATTCAAATCAAAACACGATTGTAATGGAATGAACGTTTCGTAAAGGCAGACATTTTAGAAATAAAGGAAGCCAGTTTAACACCTTTTTATGGGCTTACCCGCAGAGGGAATACAAATACAATGGAATCCGAAGGTGCACAGGGATGGATTCGTATTCATTCAATCATTGGCTCTCCATTTTTATGTTATAAGTATTGTCAAATTTAACAACGATTATCAATTTACAAGAGTATTTTTATGGTGTTTGTTTTTTTTTACGGTACAGTTAGTAACCGTAACTACTTACGGAATCTGACTCATAACAACTGTGTTCTAAATCTTCGGCAGTTTTAAATCATGAATCACATTATTATAAGTGGACATTTCATTTTATTCGACCAGAAGGTAGAAGAAATGAAAAATTGCGGAAGCCCAGAGCAAAAAGTACAACAGTTAACTTGCTCAGAGTAAAGTTTTTTGATGATTTGAAAATCTTTCTCATTAAGCCCTGGTCTTCGCCAAAATGCCGTTAAACAGACTGTCGCAGCTTACTACTACCCTCATTTTATCGCTAGGCAAAGCATGTTTTTAACTACCTACCTATGAATTAGTAGAATTTTATTTGACTAATAGGTGAATTCTGCATTGTGAGATTGGTAAGATTCATGGAACTACGAGCTTATTCATAAGATGTTATTGCAATTGTCAATTATTTAACTTCATATCACTGACGTTGTTTTGAATGATTAGATACTGAGAATTTTGTGAATTGNATGAATTGTCAGGTACGTAGTTGCAAAAAAGTAATTCCCTGCAAGTTGAATTCTTACTTTGGCATTATTTTAGCTGCTTCAAGTTTCTTTATGTAGGTGTCTTGTAACAAGTACAATGTTAATAATAAGAAGCTAAAAGAACTGAGGTTAAGATTGATAAACATTTCATCCATCCTTTGTAAACAAACATTATCCATGGACAGCATAGCATGCAAAATTTTAGATGAACCGTAAATAAAATAGCCTATGTGTGTATGGTGTTTCACGAATCAGTACAAATTCGTTTATCTAAATAGTTTACAATAGAAGTTTGCAATGTTTATACGACGGCCGATAAAAACAATAGTCGATGTAAACTTACCTGATATTGAACTTCCAAACACAAAAAACTGTTCACTCAAAAATTCAGCCCTCGTCAGGGGCGATCACAAATAAACAAGCTCCATAGCACATTTCACAATAATCCTTTTGGGCAGAGATGGCGCACAAGCACAGCGGAATCGTTCGCGCGCGGTTCTGGCAGCGTCGCGACACGGGCGTCGCGCGCGGAGTTTCGGCGCGGAATGACGTTTGCCGGCCGATGCGGTGCGCGCGCGCATGTAAGTTACAACTACAACGCGAACCATACCCAGCTTCCACGAAAAGATGCTGTTTGTTTTTGCTCTTGATTCTTATTTCACATACTCAAGCTAATGCAGACAGATAATTACTTAATTAATCTTCTAATCAATTTGTTTTTATAGTATTTTTCTTATTGTCCGTACAAGTCAAGACTTGGGCAAGGTCCACGTATTAATTTAAGATCTTAAAGAGTCAGCAAACATTCATAACTTTTTTGTGAATAGGATTCAATAGGATCAGTATTATTCACTTCGATCAACAATACCAACTAGATATCGGGTCAGCGGCCAGCGCAAAAATTACGACTCGGCTCGGAAAATTAGAACGCACTTGAGAAGCGAGTTCTTTTATTGTAATTCATCTTTTTTTGTCGTCTGGCATCAATTTAATATTTATTTATATTCTTTCAAATTCTGGGCGGGGACGCTGTCTGAGTTGACTCATTTTTCAAGTGCGCTGTTATTTCCCGAGACGTAATTTTTGCGCTGACTCGACATCTAGTTGGTATTGTTGATCGAACTTCACTTCATAATGGGATGAATACAAAATGTTACAAAACTAACGAAGTACAGAAAGCATGCAAGCAAGTCGGTGGAGGGTTGAAGAGGAGGCCTATGTTCGAAGGCGAACCCAAAGGCTGCTATAGATAGATAGACAGAAAGCATAATAACATTGTCTGTATAGATAACTTCAACCAGTTTAGTCCCACGCATAGCATCAAAGTGATAAGATGGACAGGTTCCCGACGCTATCAATGTGTCGGACACCGTTAAACCACCGGAGACAAGCGTGGTCAATTAAATGCTAATATGTTAATGTCATTATTACAAGCCTTCATAAAGGAATATCGATCAATAAGAGTATGTAAAGAGCACCTAGTAACATAAGACTAGACAAGGGTTAAAGAAGAATAAAGAAGGAAAAGGAAGTAACTGACGATCATAACATTAGGCAAAAGAAAATTGTTGAAATTTCAGTCAGTGATGTCCAATGTCCTCAAGAAAGGCAAAGAAAGCAGTAAACGTCTTTTTTTACCCGCAACATAGAGAAGATGCCTACAATGTCAATTTTCCTGTGATAAAATGATCCACATGAACATCTGTAAATCCTCCATTTGAGAAAAATCTAAAGAACCCATTAAAAGCTACCTACGACATGCAAAGTATAAAGTTACGGTGGTTGAGCAAGCGCTCACGCGCTACACGCAGTGTGCGCACGCGCACGGGACTCGCGACTCGCGCGTTTGTAAACAGCGATGTGGTGACTAGTCGCATGAGGCACAACGCAGCGGCGTAGCAACCAATATTCATGACAATTGATAAATAAATTGTTTGACTAGTTGACACCAGCAATAATTCCAAGACACAACCTTTAATGGACAGAAAACTTGCACACTAAACAGGGTACAAAAGACCGACTTGATGCCATAAAAAGGAATTTTCCGAGAAGGTCCTGCATGTTGTAGAGATATGGCGTAAAATCAAGGAAATAAGAATATAAGAATATTTGACATACTCAGATGTTATTTTAACAGATTTTGGGAGGTGGTGCAGACTTGAATTTACCCATAAGATCACATAATAGTTTAAGTAGATAAGTCGGTAACAAAAATCTTTACGATCCTAACTTCCGTATTTTACTTGAATTCTTCAATTGAACCCAAGCGAAGAAACCTTTTAGCATTCGGGTGTCAGTGTAAGGTTACACCCATAAAGCTGCGTTGTTATTTGTGAAATATAATCCCAATTCGTCGCTGTGATTTACCGGAACTAACGAGGCAAGGAGGACCGCGGGCGCAGCCTGCCACGCTCCGCTGGCCCGAAACAACGGCCTATACCGCACAGTACGTACCTAACAACTATTTGTTTATAATGATTTCTGTGCCAAATTGTATTACGGTATAACTGTGTTGGGAGTATACACAAAAACCAACAATACTGTTAAAGAGCCCATAATCACCACCTACATACGACACCCATAATTAATTAGTACAGCGAAATCAGAAAATAAACTGGAATGGTTAAACTACCTTTGTTTAAAACACACCTATTTTTCGCAGTTCTACTACATTGTAAGTACACTGATTTACCTTTAAGCAATTAAATTTAAATAAGTACATATCCATACAATTAACATCCTAGCGCGTGAATATCAGATCTTTCGCGGGCGAGGAAGTAAATATCCCGGATACAACAGCATTGATTTGTTATTCATGTATTTCGCAACAAAATGTATTATTAGGCTTGATAAAACAAGTGTCGGTACCTACTTAATCATTATTAAGTGCATCCTTAATTTATGCTGGTGGTATAGAAAGAAAGAAAGAATGATTTATTTTTGTTTTGAATTGAAAGAAAAATAACGCCTCCGTAGTCTATGAGAGTCCGACTTTCTCAACTTGAAGATCTTGGGATTCTTGGGTTCGATACCCACATATCCTACATTCTCCCACCGTATGGGTATTATAATAAGCAATTTCTGTGTAGGTATTTGTTTTCAGTTTGTTTAATTTTTTTCAGGAAAATTATCAATGTTGGTAAAACTACTGAAAAACCTAAATGTTTCAGGACATATAAAATTAGATAAAACTCTAACTTGCAAGCAAGCTGGAGTTTTATGCAAAATGCTCTCCGAAGTCGAACCCGACATGCATCGTCCCAATTAAATCGTAAAATTGGTAGTTAAATACGAAATTATAGGCCAATATTGTAGTTTTTCAAATCCAGATTTGAAATTACCTACTCTATTTATTTTTTATAATATAAGTACGCGAAAAAATCCCTGCAAAAGAGTCCTAAGCCCGTCATTAAGCGCTGTGGCCTTCGAAGGCAGCGCGTGCGCAGCGTCACCGCGTGACTCAGCGGTCACGCTCCGCGGTCGCGATCATTGTTCCACTCTGCGCTGCCTATACTACTACTATACTCGGCCTCAAAAACATCCAAACCTTCCTATTCCGAAAACGAATGTTAACAATTAGTTCACTATTGATAATATCGGAAATACTTGGACACGTAATAGAGCCTAACTACTACACTAAAAAAAAATACATTTCATTTCTACTTTTTCAGAACAAAAAGGGAAATAATTTTCCAAAACAGGAAATGATTCAAATCCACACGCGTGCCAACGCATCACAGGAAAAAGATCCAAGTATCATTCAAAAGAAATGAATCGAAAGCTTTTAAAGGGAGAACTGTTAAAAACTTAGATGATAATACAGTAGTAACACAGGTCATTCGCCGAATGTACATTAATGTACTATCGGCAACAGTGTTAACTGTCCATCGCCAGTCATGTCATCTCGTTCTATCGCAATCGCCATTTGATTAGAGCGAGAGCAAAAACGGAAATGGATAGTTAACAGTGTGGCCGTGTGTACATCTTTGACATTCTTGGTCAAAAACTGCTAAGAAGTGCAATTTATGCATTTATGACAATTCAATGTATCGCTGTTGGTTTCTTGTATCCCAACTAATATCCCAACTAATATTATAAATGCGAAAGTAACTCTGTCTGTCTGTCTGTCTGTCTGTTACGCTTTCCCGCTTAAACCTCGCAACCGATTTTGATGAAATTTGGCATAGAGATAGTTTGAGTCCCGGGAAAGAACATAGGATAGTTTTTATCCCGGTTTTTGAAACAGGGACGCGCGCGATAAAGTTTTTCTGTGACAGACAAAATTCCACGCGGGCGAAGCCGCGGGCGGAAAGCTAGTAAATAAATAAATGATACTTTTTTGGTACAAAATGGTGGTAGCACCCAATAGCATACGATTACAAAATGTTCGGACGTCGACCCACCCAATGAGACTGTAAGAGAAAATTTTAACTTTAAAATTATAACTTTTATGACTCCAACGTTCTTTCGAGTTAATTATATTTGCTCTCAATTTTCAAACAGAAGAGCATAGTTTCGTCGTGGTATCGCATAACAGGATGGGTAGTAGTCTTCACTTGCAAGTTCAAGTTGCAATGGTAGGAAAGATGGCGGCTCAAAATGGCCGCACTTCCGCCATTAGTTCGAGTTGCCGCCACGCATCAGTGGCGCCACGCAGCGTTCTTTGTCTTTGGGCACTCGCAAGAATAGATTATTTAGCCATATAGATCGAAATAAGTTTATGGTTGATAACTTGATACTAACTCAAAATATTACACTCCCCCAAAGCGTACAATTAAAAAATAATGGTTGATACTAACTCAAAATATTACATTCCCCCAAAGCGTACAAAGTATTTAGAATCAAAAATGCTGCTGCCCCTCCCTAGCACCTAGACCCAGCTTAGCAAGGCCTATTAGGTAGCATGTATTAGATAGGTACTTAGAGACAGTAAACGGAGTGTTTCTCTTGCATATTTATCTCTGAAATTATACATGCATAACCCCGTATGTGTACTTATGATAATCCTTAAACACTTCCCAGTTCCTGTATCGTCAATGGTAATCCGAAGGCTTCCTCAAAACGCAGGTGTCGCACGAATCCAAATGCCCATATCAAAGGGTAGGCGCTGTATTTAGGGTTATCAAAATAGAAAAATCAGTTTTAACGAGAGATAACCTAGGTCTTTGTGAAGCGGATGTTAACAAATTTATTTAAATGTCCACCACTCGCAGATAAACAGAAAGATAAATACATAAATATGAACCGGAAGACTACATACTGTCAACTATTATGCCAAGAAGGGGTTCGAGGTTCGGTTCCCGCATAATATTTAAAAACTAATTGATCTACAAGTGTTTTATGATTTTGTTTATGCATAATACACATTGTATTCATAAAATATTACCGTCCCCAGATTCCTCTTAAACTATTTCTGAAAACTGCGTTAAAATCCTTTGTGTAGTTTAAAAGATAGACAGCGGGAATGACTTTGTTTTATACAATGTAAAGATTTCTGAATGTTTGATAGGTTTTCTAATGGAGCCCACATTGAAAGCTTTCCTTAGTGTG